CCCCGGATAACGCAAGCTGCTTGTAAGGCGCTAGAAGGTAAATAGTCTCACAACGAAGCAAATATCAAGTGTCAGTAAATTGTTCTCGCAGCTTGATAACTTCAATTGTCAATTGATTTTGTTATTGATAACTGCTGTTGTTGTTCCACTGACAACTTGTCAACAATGGCAAGCTATTTGAAATACGAGATGCTGGCACGTCATCAGGGCTATTGCAAGAGATGTTGCTGGCACGTCATCAGGGCTATTGCAAGAGATGTTGCTGGCATCAACCAACTGTCAACCTATTGATCAGACAGCAGCAAACTAATGACATGAAAGACTGTCAGTGTTCAGGTCGACCCCGAGTGACAACTACTTGGGAGGATACAGCCCTTCCCAGATGATCTCGCCCGTTCATGTTAAAAACAGGGTGGCTTCCACTTAGTCGTTTGTCTTCAACTGAACGGTCCGAAATCGCCTAAAATCGACCGGGCATAGAGCTAGGTGACCTATATAACTGTACAATTTATATATACTTTTATCTTCATATGACGGAGGACATAACTGTGTGAGTGAGTGACTATTGCTTAACGCCGCATCAGCAATGTTGCAGCTATTCGCGGCGAGCATGTATGAGACAGTTCAACTCCACAAGTTTTCATAACGACACGGTAACATTCATAATCATGTTTACATTTCCCTGCATCTGCAATCGTGGAATGTCGCTTGACTACTCAGCTTCATCTGGATGTACTGATCTAAACCTTACGCTGATGTCCAAGATATTTTTATGGATTAAACTTCTTTTTAGATTTAATTTTAATTTTTAATCTAAATTTTAGCTTTTAATTTGTTTTGAAATTTTGGAATTTCGTAATCCACATTTTACGTATTCATTATATTTTAATTTACAATAATCCATAAAATATACGAAGACATCAGTAATGCAACTTCTAAATGCCACTGAAGAGAATGCTCGGCACGTTGGTTGAAGGTAGAAATGCGACACGGTGAAGTAATTACCCCATATGGGTTTTACGTTAATGACCAGATGTAAATTAAAATAATTCAGAGAATCTTTAAAATCAGACGTAAACCATCATCGAGCTATTATCAATTTTAGGTTTGTTTCTAGGTAACGTTCACGTCTTAACGTAGAGGGACCAGACACATCAATAGAACGAACAGCGCGCCTGGTAGCCCTGAGTGAATATTTCTTAATTTAGAATACCGGCCGCCATCGTTTTGTTTCTGCCTTAAATTAAATCAGCAAAATTATCCTTAGAAAGCCTTATTCGATTTGGCATCTCAGAAAAGAAATATAGTTTGCTCTACCACTGTATATGGCGTAATACAGCACACTTTCGCCCTGGAACTAATATAGCGATTAAAGCGCACTCCAGAAGCAAAGCGTCTTCGTATTGCGCAACTATAATGGATTCAGGACGAAAGTCATCTTTAATACTCTATATATGGTGGTAAATGAAACTCTCTATCTAAAACCACGGTCTCGAGAATTACTCCTATTGACGTCCAGCTTGATGTAATTTATAACGAATGCATGTGCTTTTTCAAAACTATCGAGACCTGAATAGGATAATAATATAGATGAATATAGTCATCATATTTATTCATTTGGTATGGGTATAGATCAGCTACAGTATAACATCAATACATGTTCTTTTTCACCGCTGGAAAGTTCTACGCACTATTCGTTGATTTTGCAAAGGCTTTCGATTCTGTGCAGCGGGATAAACTATGGAGACTTCTACAATCGCACGGTCTTAGTAGTAAAATGAATAAAATGTTGAAAGAGTATATACGAAAATGTTAAAGTGTGTGTAAGGAATCAGCATGACTTATCTGAACCTTTCATTAGTGAACTAGGTGTTAGACAAGGCTGTATTTTAAGCCCTTTCCTTTTTACGTTTTCATTCATGAATTAGCAATACAAATATGTGACACATGTACGAATGGGATTCAACTACACCCAGATACAATACAACTATTTCTGTTACTCTTTGCCGATGAAATTGTACTATTTTCTAGTACTGTTAGCGGTTTACAGAAACAAATAGATGAATTAGACACATTTTCTGACCAATATAAATTGTGTGTAAACAGAGACAAAACCAAAATTATCGTCTTTAAGAAAGGTGGAAAACTCTCTAAATTAGAAAAATGGTATTATAAAGGGCAACTACTCAAAACTACCAGTGTTTATAAGTATCTTGGTGTATATTTTTGTAATAGCCTTTCCTGGTCCAAACACACAAAACAAGCGTCAGCACAAGCCTTGAAAATCCTAATCGGTGTTTGTAAAAATATGAGATCGTTGGGTGAAATGTCCTTTAACACATTCTTTAAAATATTCGATATGAAGATAAGTCCAATACTTCTATATGGCTCTGAGATATGGGGATTACAACAATATGACAGTATTGAAAGAGTTCATTTATATGCATGCAAAAAGGTTCTTGGTGTAAAACCGATCACATGTAATAGGATGGTTTACGGAGAATTAGGTAGATTCCCCTTGTTTATATACTCTTCCATTAAAGCCATAAAGTATTGGGTAAGATTACTGCATATGTCATGCCATAGGTTTCCGAAAAAGTGTTATGATATGATGAAATTGTATAACGAAAATGGGAAAAGGAATTGGGTGAGTGATATTAGGGAGTTGTTGTACAAAACTGGTTATGGTTATGTGTGGTGTGATCACAATGTTCAGTTGCATACAAACTTTATCATATCATTTACACAAAGAATGAAAGATATCTATTTCCAGTCTTGGTTGGAATCACTACTCCTATCCACAAAATGTTTATACTATAACCAATGGAAATCGGACATACGTTTTGAAGACTATTTAGCAAAAATCGGCGTAAAGAAGTTCCGTATAGCTCTCTCTCGTTTTCGTTGCTCTTCCCATGAATTATTTATTGAAACTGGCAGGTATGCAGGTATACAAAGAGAAATCAGAATATGTCAGTTATGTAATATGAGTACTGTTGAGGATGAACTACATTTTCTTATAACTGTCAAGTTTTCTCATAGACTAATTCAAATAATATTGAAAGGTCTTGATTAAAGGCACGTAGCTGACTACAAGTTTACCAGGTGCTGACAAGGGGCATTACCTTGATGGTGATGATAGTTTGGAGATTTTACGACAAGATGCGTTTTCGCACACTTTCCTACGAAGGGCAGGCTTATGTTGCCACGTGACAAAGAAAACGGATCAATGACCATACTACTTCCATCTCTGGACTCTCAAATATGACTGCCGTTTTGCAAGAATTGTGATATCGTCACGTCAAGTCGACTACGTCACCCGCGTTGGCATAGGCGTTCCACATCAATTACCTCCCCTATGAATCTGACGCGCAGGATCTTCCTGAATTAAATGAATATTCCATGTCAATAGGGCTTGTGAGTATCGGGAAGCGCTACTTCCGATATTAAGCTGGTTCCCGGCTCCATTTGCGCCCGCCCACTTGCTACATGCGAGACGGGGCCCAGCTTACTTCCAAACCAGATTTTCAAGAATCAGTTCTGGCTCCAAATTGCCAAATATGGCTTTACTAGAGCGGACCAAGTGTAAAAGCACGTTTGGCTGTCACATCTGTTGGCTAATTTGGGGGTGGTTAGATCGGAAATTTGTTTTTCCTGCAAGGATCATCGGTTCCTTCCATTCAGTTGACAACCATGAGACCATTCGAAAAGGTGTGAAACGTTGTTTGTCATCGGAAGTGCTAAGGTTTCGCGAAGAGCCGTGACCTACTTACGGACCCTATGTAAGTCAGTGTCGTAAAATATCGATGCTGGCGCTGCTGAATGCCAGCAGTCAACTGAACGCATTACATATGAAACAGGTTGAGTAAATATTTGCAAGTATGTATGGTCAAACGCTGTCGTGTCGTAAAAGCATGTTCCCCGTATTCTCTGTGTCATTATTCTGCGGTCGAACAGCGGATAACTCGAAGTATTAACGTAGGTCCCTTCAACCTTAACACAACGTTGTCTGGCTGTATACCCAAATCCATACCAATCTGAGAACTGTACCACTGCGCCAGCATATCAGGTTTATGATTAAAGCTCGCTCACTTTAAGGTACAGTTTATTCTTTAACCTACTGTAGGTTTATATCGGCCATTCGGTTAGTGCAAACTGCACTGTGTCCGAAAAGATCAAAGGGCTGTCGGCATTTCGAGACCAAATCGCTCTGGTATGAGATCGTCGTAGTTCACTGTTCAGAAGCTCAGTTATTCCTATCAAGACATGTACGTGTATTATATGACACGTCTTAGCCTTTACAGTCAGGATTTTCTCCCACTGCTAAACGCATTTAACCAATAATGTTTCAAAACACATGAGTTTTGTTATACAAACTGATAGCTGAATACTGTTACTGAAGTATTTATGTAACACGATAAAACATTCAGTACTAGCTACTCACATGTTTCTGCTGACTGCCGGTCATTCGCCTAGATCTCAAAACGCCCACTGTGGACATGTATGTGACGTATCTGTGTCCGATGCATTCCCTACATAATTGCCCTTCAGGTCACGTGTTTACCCCTGTGAACATGCAGCTCATGTGAAAGCGTTGATATTTCACTAAGTACTCAGATAGCTTCCTCCATGCATTAACTTGTAGATATAAGAGATGAAACTACGATGATAAGACAACATTGACACTGTTTTACGATTCCCATTCTATCCAATGTATGTGTTAATTACACCAGGTGTTTGAAAAAGTATGAGTGTACTGTGTCCATCACAAAGACATATCATTCTTCAGACTTTAATTTCAATATTTTTTGCAAATAGAATATATTAGTAATCCACACAACCGCTTTAGACCTGTAATATTGTAGCAGACGCTTAACTCAATCACTTATTGGGGTCGTAAAGGATACATACACTAAATCTGCAATATAGGTAGAATATTGCTGATACGGACGTTAGACAAGAAACGGACAAAACAAATATACACCAAGTAGTTTCTATCAAGCTGTTTTATTTCGTGTATGTTACACGTACATCTAGCTGCTGATAACGGAGTTGATCCAATCAGTGTAGGCGGAGACGTCGGTGTAGATGCCGTTAGTCTCGGCCAGGTTACAGTTGGCAGGTCCATAGGAGGTGATGCCACACTGAACCCACGTCCCGTCATACTGGCACACCAGCGGCCCGCCGGAGTCCCCCTGGGAACAGAGGTACAGGTGTGATCAGGTTGCATTGATCTTACTCAGAAGTTGATAGAACTGAAACGCACGAATCCATATGAAGCCATGCATATTTTATGCCTCTCATCTTCAGCTTCAGCTGAGCAAACCGATGAACACAAAATAAATCATCTACAAACAAATATACTACTGAAGTACATGTCTCGAAGAAATGTGACAATGTAAGTAACAATTTTATAACACTTTGTATCGGTTGGTTCAGTCTTACGTTGTAATGTGACAATGTAAGTATCGGTTTTGTAAGTGTGTATCGGTTGGTTCAATCTTACGTCGTAATGTGACAATTTTAGTGTCGGTTTTGTAACACAGTGTATCGGTTGGTTCAATCTGACGTTGTAATGTGACAATGTTAGAGTCGGTTTTTAAGAGTGTATCAGTTGGTTCAATCTTTCATTGTAATGTGAGTTGGTTGTATAACACTGTGTATGAGTTGGTTGTATAACACTGTGTATGAGTTGGTTGTATAACACTGTGTATGTGTTGGTTGTATAACACTGTGTATGAGTTGGTTGTATAACACTGTGTATGAGTTGGTTGTATAACACAGTGTATGAGTTGGTTGTATAACACTGTGTATGAGTTGGTTGTATAACACTGTGTATGTGTTGGTTGTATAACACTGTGTATGAGTTGGTTGTATAACACTGTGTATGAGTTGGTTGTATAACACTGTGTATGTGTTGGTTGTATAACACTGTGTATGAGTTGGTTGTATAACACTGTGTATGAGTTGGTTGTATAACACTGTGTATGAGTTGGTTGTATAACACTGTGTATGAGTTGGTTGTATAACACTGTGTATGAGTTGGTTGTATAACACAGTGTATGAGTTGGTTGTATAACACTGTGTATGAGTTGGTTGTATAACACTGTGTATGAGTTGGTTGTATAACACAGTGTATGAGTTGGTTGTATAACACTGTGTATGTGTTGGTTCTATAACACTGTGTATGAGTTGGTTGTATAACACTGTGTATGTGTTGGTTGTATAACACTGTGTATGAGTTGGTTGTATAACACTGTGTATGTGTTGGTTGTATAACACTGTGTATGAGTTGGTTGTATAACACTGTGTATGAGTTGGTTGTATAACACTGTGTATGCGTTGGTTGTATAACACTGTGTATGAGTTGGTTGTATAACACTGTGTATGTGTTGGTTGTATAACACTGTGTATGTGTTGGTTGTATAACACTGTGTATGAGTTGGTTGTATAACACAGTGTATGTGTTGGTTGTATAACACTGTGTATGAGTTGGTTGTATAACACTGTGTATGAGTTGGTTGTATAACACTGTGTATGAGTTGGTTGTATAACACTGTGTATGTGTTGGTTGTAAAACACTGTGTATGTGTTGGTTGTATAACACAGTGTATGAGTTGGTTGTATAACACTGTGTATGAGTTGGTTGTAAACACAGTGTATGAGTGGTTGTATAACACTGTGTATGAGTTGGTTGTATAACACTGTGTATGAGTTGTTGTATAACACTGTGTATGAGTTGGTGAAGCCTTACGTTGCAGGTGTCGGTGTTGCCGACAGCACAGATCTGAGTGTTGACGTTGGAGGAAGCGGGGGAGTTTGTCGGGCATCTCGCGGCATCGTAGGTGGCGACTACCGCCTCCTGCAGCGTGTCCGGGAACGCCACTGAAACAGTGCTCAACTTTAGACAAGGGTATTCCTATAGGTCCAAAATAAACCAAGTGGAAAATGATATGAGAATATTACCTGTATAATATCTTATTCAGACACAGTCAACACCAGGATATTGTAAAAATCTGTTTTCTCAGTTATTCCGATTACCTGTGATTGTTAATCCGTACCTGGGCGACCATTAGTCGTAGCTGTCGCTCCCCAACCGGTGACGGTGCACTGCCGGTTGACGAGGTTGGTGCATTGAGAGCCAGTAGGAAGACACACAGGCTCGGCATTGTCTATACCGTCAATAGGCCTTTCCAGGGTTAGTATCGAGATGTCATTGACTGAAATGTATCAGGATATATGTCTCTAATGTCAGTAATTGACAATGTTAATGATAATGTGTTCTGAAATATCGCTTTGTACCAAGATCTTAACATCGAACTCATCAGTATTCCAGCAGTATTGAAGCGGATTTAGAATAATCCAATCTGGTCGAAACAGTGCAGCGATCAATATTGCGATGCACTCATTTGGGATACGATAGCATGATACAATTCAGTCACCTAGCCTGACCAACCGATATGTTAAGTCGAACTCCGCGACCTCGTAACCAATATTCTTGCTTTTCGGGTTTGTTAGCGGAAAGCGGTCCTAAAGCAAACCACCATCAGGTCGGGTAGCTTAGAGGATAAGGCGTTCACTTTTAACACCGAATAACCAGGTTCGATTTCCCACATGAGTGCAAAGTATGAAGCCTATTTTTTGTATTCCCCGCCTTGACATTGCTGGAATATTGCTGAACGTGGCGTACAATCACACTCGCACACACCACATGTATTATTGCTGTGTTCGTTGCTGATACTCACTCGTGTTAACTGAATCGTAGTTCGGGTGGTCAGTGATGGTGGACACCTGGATGACCTGCTCTCCATCAGCTTGGGTCAAGTCGAATTCAGCCACGCCCACAGAGAGTGACGACGCAGTTTGATCACTGCACCGTGACAGAGAATCAGGAATAGCATTCAGGAACTTCAGAGAATCAGGAATTTTAACATTTTGCATTAAAATTGTTTTAAAACTAATTTATGCTTTTCTTATCTTATAATAGATTTAATAAATGTGTTTTGATTTGTGATAACGTCTTCAAGGGGGATGATTGAACTATAAGCATTTTCACGTCGCGTTAGATTTGCGGCGTTGGAGTAGTCCAATGGTTACAACGTTCGCCCGTAACGCTGAAGACCCGGGGTTCGATTCTCCACATGGGTCCAATGTGTTAAGCCAATTTCAGGTGTCCCACGCCTTGATATGGCGGGATTATTGCTAAAAGCGGCGTAAAACCATACCCATTCACTGTAACATTTCACACAGGTATTGCCCGTTGCAGAAAATAATAAACATCTTCAAATATGTTCAAAAGAAAGCTGTGCCATACCAATTCTTCATTCATTCATGACATGACATGACATGACATCATGACATTAATCAGGCTAAGGACTTACGCAGTGCAGTGGGCAGCGGTCATGATGTGAGTAGAGTCGATGATGGTGGCGCCGCAGGCAAACCGTCCGTTGATGAGGAGGGTGGTTGTGAACTGATACTCCCCGACATTGGCCGAAGCCCCATTTACCACGCGCAGGGACACCAGTGTGTTTCGTATTTGGTTCGAGACGGCAGGATCCAAGACTGTGCCGCAAGCTTCAGGAAGCAAATCATATATATGAAATTAGAGTATGTTTCTGAAGAGTAATATTTTCTTTCAGTTTTAGGTTCAAGAATCTATTTCTGAATATGTAACAGTGGTGCCTCCTGGAATATTAGACTGAGGACGATATGTTTTGTCTATGATCGTACATTTTAGTGCAGGTGTGGTGGTAGTCGTGGTGGTCGTGGTCGTTGACGTGGTGGTGGTGGTTGTCGTTGTGGTTCTTGTAGTTGTGGTCGGTCTTGTTGTTGGACGTGGAGTTTGTGGTGGTCTGGTCGGTGAGACTTGACTGAGGAAAGAGGCAATGTTAGGACACGCCCTTCCCAGGACCCCTAGTAGTCGACTGTATCCCCGCCGGTAGTACATCCCACGAGCCAGGCGACCCAACATCCGGCAGAATCTACGTCGTCCATACCTACCGATTCTGGCATAGACTGAAACAAAAGGGACAGTGTTGATTGGTTTCCGGTTGATGGTGGACCTGGTGTGCTCCGCGGTTATGAAACAGATCTGTGTTTGTATTTGCCTTATTCTGTACGTCTGCGTTCGAATATCGGATGGGTCTCAACCCTAACAAGTGCAAGAATCTCTCTCGACTTTTATGAGAAAGTTTTATCCAAATATAAGCTATGCTCAGGCCGGGATAAGAGGCACATATATACTTAGTCTATTAAATGTGGCGGGATGGTTTACATGAAATAATTATTTTATGGTTTGCATAATGATTTTACAGAATGTGCAGATTTTTTGTATTTGTTACACAACTTTTAAAATTTTAAGATAATATTTTTTTTTTACCATAGAAGTTTGGGACATACATTTTCCGAAGATGTTTCATGAGAGGGCAGAGAAGAGTGTAATGAAATTCATCTCCAACCTTGCACATGCAGCAGAGTTTACAAATTGTCTCGTCTGGGGGAATGTTGTGCCACCTACCTAGTTCTAGAGGTTAAACGTAAGCAATGGCAAGATGAGTGAAAAAGTGAAGTGGGTATATGTTGAATAACTTCCAAGGACCAATTATATTTTGAATATGCGATTGCTTGTACCTTTAGAAGAAATCGAAATCTCTGCACCCAAAATTTGGGTTGGTATATCACATAATGGTCAGGAAATGGTAGATTTAGGTACAGGGGGGGGGGGGGAGACTGACTGACTGATTCGAACCCGGGTCTTCGGCGCTTTAACCATTAGGCTACCCCACGCCCCCACAAGGGGGGAACACAGTGTGGTGACTAGAAAGAGCTATAGCCAGTTTCATTAAATATGACCTCTATACATTTTAGCTATTTTTTGGGGAAAGGATTATGTTATAACCGCCAAGTCAAAACATTGATTACAAAGCAGTCTCGTTTCCTGCTGACTGGGTTCCGTCCTATTGTGCAACTTAGTGCAATAACTAGTCCAGACTTTTGAGATCAACTCATTCTACTGGATACATAGATATTAATCAGTATTATTTGATACATCTAATTTCAAGCTTGCAACCATTAGGCTACCCCACCGCTACTCCAGCTGTTTATAAACGTGAAGCGATTGTTAGTGGTGTAAAGTCCTCATGGGTAAATATAAGATGAATGTTATTCCTAGAAGGAGGGTTACACATACAGTGCCTGATGTAGCACTGGACACCGTATCGAATGATAGGCCGACGGTATCCTCGGAGGGTGTTGACGCCGTTCCAGAACGCCGCGGCAGCCGTGTTGTCGATGTTGAGCCGAGCCCTTTCTTCCGCCAGAATCTCACCCTCTATCTGGCGGAATGGTTTCCTTGCAGTTAATATTTTGGCGGTGAATTTCGTCACCCTTGTACCAAAATATGTCCTGAGTACGTTGTCCAGGTCATTGATAGGAGCGCCAAATTGCTGAGCCAACCACGTGTAGTACATCCGGTCAATGTAGGACAGCGTTGTGTTTGTGTCCTCCTCATCAGACAGGGAGTTGGCGTACACTGACTCAATGGTTGCAGTGGGGAGAGAGTCGAAACTTGACAGTATCTTTGTGCCGACACGCTCGGCGCTGAAGTTATGAAATTTCAGATTAAAGGGAGCTGGCTGAGGAGGATTAAAGGGAGGAGGGACGAAGTTGATTAAAGGGAGGTGGGGTGAGGTGGATTAAAGGAAGGTGGGATGTGGTGGATTAAAGGGAGCTAGATGAGGAGGATTAAAGGGAGATGGGAGGTGGTGAATTAAAGGGAGGTGGGATGTAATGGATTAAAGGGAGGTGGGATGTGGTGAATTAAAGGGAGGTGGGATGTGGTGAATTAAAGGGAGGTGGGATGTGGTGAATTAAAGGGAGGTGGGATGTGGTGGATTAAAGGGAGGTGGGATGTAATGGATTAAAGGGAGGTGGGATGAGGTGGATTTAAGGGAGGTGGGGTGAGGTGGATTAAAGGGAGGTGGTTGAGGTGGATTAAAGGGAGGTGAGAAGGGATGGAACGAAGTTTGACGTCGTGTTCAAAATTATTGCACTTTTGCTATCACAGCAGAATGTTTTCAAAATTATTATTGCTGAAATCGGTGTTTTAGAAAGGCTACTGCTGAAATGAGTGGGAACTGTTGAACCCCGCAACAGAATGTTTTCACCTCGCTACTGCGGAAGTCTGTCTGTCACAGAATGGTTATGCTATTATTGTTGGAGGCTGTTTAACTATGAGGGTTCATGTGTGTGTTTTAGAAAGGCTTATGTTATAACCGTCTGTTAATGGAGATTTATTTCAGAAGGTTATGTGCTTACTGCGGAAGGCTGTTTGTTAAGGATACTTGATTGATCGCTACCAGACAGCTGACTCAGCATTGTATATGTAGCACACATCATAAAGCGCATGTTCTATAAAGAGTTACCTTTCTTAACGAAAAGTTGTTTTCTATAAGTATCTTAAAACATTTACACTCATACACATGAGATGGAAACAAGTTCACAAAATACTGTTTTAATATATACTCACATGCAATCTTCATAGCTCAAATCTCTAAAATAGAAGCTTTGAATTTTGCAGTAATGCAAATCACTTTCTGCGCTCTCACTGTAGCTTTCGACATCGGTCATAGCACTAGCATCATCAAACGTTTCCGTGGGTTGAGAGGGGGATGGATTTGGAATAATGATGCCAACCTGATGACTCGGCGAAACCGCTGCCAACAACAGCACTATGACTGCACCGCAGAACGCCATGTTGAAGTAATTCTCTTGAGGTGGGTCCGTGACTATATACAACGCGGGCGTTGCGTCATTCTTTAGGAACAACCCCATATTGTGTAAACTACGGGCCCACACAGACAAACGAAGCAAACATGTGTGTGTTATGTGTGTCAATTTGTTTAAGGGACGTAGAGATGCATGTGTAGTCGACGATGTGGTCACGGTGTGTCCATGCAGCTGGAACCAATGCTGTAGTTGTTACAGTTTACAATCTCTAGGAAATGGACAGGTGGACCTAACGCGACATGGTACACATCGGCTTGGCATACATGTATATATAGATGTTTACACTCAGGGACGGCACTTGGACATCTTACTCCGTATATAAACGTTAAGTAAACCTCCAGTGTCATCAGCGTATTTGCATGCAGTTTGGATTGACGCTGACATGGTCCATAAGTTAAGAAACCTGATACAAACAATGAAATGAAGACTGTCCGTATTTCCCTTAAGTGTAGTGACATGGTTTCCTTGAGTACGGCAGTGAGTGAGTGAGTGAGTGAGTTTGGTTTTACGCCGCTTTTAGCAATATTCCAGCTATATCACGGCGGGGGACACCAGAAATGGGCTTCACACATTGTACCCATGTGGGGAATCGAACCCGGGTCTTCGGCGTGACGAGCGAACGCTTCAACCACTAGGCTACCCCACCGCCCCGTGTACGGCAGTGCGCAACGTACGTGTGAGTGTACTGGATAACAGCTTGATGAAACAAGTCCACGACCAACAGGTGTCCCACCTAGTTACGTGTGGGCTGGTAGATTGTTATTAACTCAACACGACACGTAGTCGCCTCTGCTTTAAATCTACCAGTATGTTAAGAGAATGAAGCTCGAGAAACTGGTGTAGACAGTCTGGTTCGAACCCGGATGGTTTACACATGCCACCGCCAGAGCATGTATATTATCTAGTATATAAATCATTGTCGCCGACACATCTTACGAAAGGTTCTGTTCTGATAATCAACTCAGTTCAAACAGTATGCTCTGATGAATATATGAAGGAAAAGGGAGATAAAAAAGTTGTTGAAAGTACAGTTTCTGATCAGTCCAGTTTCGTCAGCTGTTGTCACGAAAAAGGTAGTGACAAGTCACAGCTGGTGACGGAATGTTTGTTTGCTGTTTAACGTCGCACTCAGCAATATTCCAGCTGCATGGCGACGGTCTGTAAATTATCGAGTCTTGACCAGACAATCCAGTGATAACATCACGAGCATCGATATAAACAATTGGGATACAATGACATGTGTCAACCAAGTCAGCGAGCCTGACCACCCGATCCCGTTAGTCGCCTGTTACGACAAGCATGGGTTACTGAAGATCAATTCTAACTACGATCTTCACGATTTAGTGACTGAATGCAACTGGATAATCTTTGTGCTCAGTAAGCACAATCAGTCAAGTTAAGCAATCATTATGTTTATTCAAGAAGATATGACTATGGCTATATATCGCCTGGTCTACGACTGGTCCCGATACATTTCACTAAGTTGCACCTAAATATAATCGGATTCCGTATTTCTGTCAAACCTGTCACAAAGAACGCTTAAGGATAAGGGTCCGTACTTTCCCACTGGAGATGAAGGATTTGAGGAATTGTGACGACAATTATCAGACATATGCATGTTCATGTGGATGGATATGAAACTGTGTTCATTTCAACAATTGCTTGGGGAATTCACACGTCCTCTAAGTCGTCTTCTAAGCCGTTCACCTTAGATCTACACAAAATCATTATATACGTGGTTAAAAAGCCATCTTGTCAAAGTTCACAATGTGTAAGGACGCGAAAGAACATGGACTTGGCGCTAAGCACTTAAACATGTCTTAAAACCTTTATGCAAATATTTCAAAGTTCTAAACCTTTCCAGTCTGGCAAAAAGAGCCATTTCCCGACCTTCTCCCCTAAATACAAACACATGGTTATTATGCAGTCGTTATAGTACCCATTGCTGCAGTCGGGCGATCTTGCCTATGATAAAAGTATGTTCTTGATCCAGGTGTTGTATTTGGCCAGGTTGGTGTAGATACCATTAGTTCCTTCCAAGTTGCACTCTCTAGGCCCAAATGATGTGATTCCGCACTGAACCCATTTCTTGCCGTAGGTGCAAAATATTGGCCCGCCCGAGTCACCCTGTTGAGATGGAAAAGAATAATATGCCAAAGCCAATTTACATGTGTGTCAGTTCTGTACTTCACACGATTGCTCATTGTTCATTATGTCTTACCCTAAGAATTAACATAACAACCATAAGATAATGGTACGAATTTAGATCACGAAGACTTTGTTGTTGATGATGATGATGTTGAAGATGGTGATGATGAAGGGGAACAGAAGGATGATGTTGAAGATGATGATGATGAGGGGAACAGAAGAAAAAGGAGGGTTCAAGATGATGATGAGGAGGAGGGTCAGGGTGATGATGATGAAGAGGAGGAGGAGGACCAAGATGATGACATAACGTTAATGATGAAGATGATGGTTATGATGGTGATGAGGAGGAAGGGGCACAGGTGGAAGAAGGGGAGGATCAAGATAAGGAGGAGGGTGGTGATGATGGTGATGAGGAGGAAGGGGCACAGGTGGTAGAAGGGGAGGATGAAGATAAGGAGGAGGGTGGTGATGATGGTGATGAGGAGGAAGGGGCACAGGTGGAAGAAGGGGAGGATCAAGATAAGGAGGAGGGGTGGTGATGATGGTGATGAGAAGGAAGGCACAGGTGAAGAAGGGGAGGATCAAGATAAGGAGGAGGGTGGTGATGATGGTGGATAAGGAGGAAGGGGCACAGGTGGTAGAAGGAGGATCAAGATAAGGAGGAGGGTGGTGATGATGGTGATGAGGAGGAAGGGGCACAGGTGGTAGAAGGGGAGGATCAAGATAAGGAGGAGGGTGGTGATGATGGTGATGAGGAGGAAGGGCACAGGTGGTAGAAAGGAGGATCAAGATAAGGAGGAGGGTGGTGATGATGGTGATGAGGAGGAAGGGGCACAGGTGGAAGAAGGGGAGGATCAAGATAAGGAGGAGGGTGGTGATGATGGTGATGAGGAGGAAGGGGCACAGGTGGAAGAAGGGGAGGATCAAGATAAGGAGGAGGGTGATGATGATGATGATGAGGATGAGGACCAAGATGATGACGAAGAGGATGATGAAGAAGGTGATGGTGATGATGGTGATGAGGAGGAAGGGGCACAGGTGGTAGGAAGGAGGATCAAGATAAGGAGGAGGGTGGTGATGATGGTGATGAGGAGGAAGGGGGCACAGGAGGAAGAAGGGGAGGATCAAGATAAGGAGGAGGGTGGGATGATGGTGATGGAGGAGGAAGGCACAGGTGGAAGAAGGGAGGATCAAGATAAGGAGGAGGGTGGTGATGATGGTGATGAGGAGGAAGGGCACAGGTGGAAGAAGGGGAGGATCAAGATAAGGAGGAGGGTGGTGATGATGGTGATGAGGAGGAAGGGGCACAGGTGGTAGAAGGGGAGGATCAAGATAAGGAGGAGGGTGGTGATGATGGTGATGAGGAGGAAGGCACAGGTGGAAAAGGGGAGGATCAAGATAAGGAGGAGGGTGGTGATGATGGTGATGAGGAGGAAGGGGCACAGGTGGAAGAAGGGGAGGATCAAGATAAGGAGGAGGGTGGTGATGATGGTGATGAGGAGGAGGAAGGGGGCACAGGTGGAAGAAGGGGAGGATCAAGATAAGGAGGAGGGTGGTGATGATGGTGATGAGGAGGAAGGGCACAGGTGGTAGAAGGGAGGATCAATGATAAGGAGGGAGAGGTGGTGGTGATGATGGTGATGAGGAGGAAGGAGGCACAGGTGTGGGAAGAGGGAGGATCAAGTGGTGGTGATGATGATGAGGAGGAGGAAGGGGCACAGGTGGAAAAGGGAGGATCAAGATAAGGAGGAGGGTGGTGATGATGGTGAGGAGGAGGAAGGGGCACAGAGTGGAAGAAAGGGAGGATCAAGATAAGGAGGAGGGTGGTGATGATGGAGATGACAAAGAGGAGGTGGGTGATGATCATTATCATGATGATGATGAGGCGGAAGGGGAACAGGTGGTTGAAGGGGAGGATCAAGATGATGATGCGGAGGGTGATGAGTGTTGATGATGAGGGATGAGGATCCAGATGATGATGATGAGGACGAGGAGGAGGATCCATATGATGAGGAGGATGGTGATGATGATGAGGAGGAGGAGGATCCAGATGATGATGATGATGAGAAGGAGGAGGAGGAGGGTGATGGTGATGATGATGAAGGAAGATCCAGATGATGTCGAGGAGGATGATGATGATGATGATGAAGGAGGAGGATGGGGAGAATGATGATGATGATGATGATGATGATGATGATGATGGGGAAGCCTGACTTCTACGTACGGCATGCAATGTATATTATACTTACGTTGCAGGTATCAGAGTTTCCAACGGCACAGATCTGAGTTTTGAGGTCACTCGGCGCGGGTCTGTTAGTTGGACACTTGGAACCGGCATATGCCCTGACAGTGGCATCGCGGGGGGCATTAGGAAAAACCACTGTATGGCAAATACAAGAGTATCAAACAATGGTTCACAACTGGAATATAGATTGTTAGTTTTATTCTTGGGCTTCCGCCTGTCCTGCAGTTATGACAAAAGCAACAAAGCACATATTCAGCGGTTCAAATAGTCAGCGTGAACAGTGTACCAGGGCGAATCCTTTATTGGCCTCTATACAGATCTGTTACCTGCTTGTTGACATGTAATTATCAAAATGCCAGAACATTATTTGGGAAATATTTTGCAGTTGCTGTTAATAAAATATTCATTTCAATGCGATTGTCACCAACTTATTTAGTTATGTGTTTTCAACACGATCAGAATACTTCAACCAGTCACCTCTGCAACGCCCCTATCACCTCTACCTGAATCTGAATTATGTAGGTTTTACTCAAATGATAGCATGATCTTTGACGTGAACAGCTGTCGTGACTACCTCCCTCTTCCCACGTGATAAATATTCCCACGGTTAAAATATTGTTCACAGCAGTGCTAAATTCGCTCACTCACTCACACACTCAACCATACATTGCAGAACTCTTACGTGTGTTATCCACTATTTCCTTGGCTCCCCATCCAGCAACGACACACTTCCGGTTGGAAATATCCTTGCACTGCTTCCACCGAGGAAGGCAAATGGGTTCAGCGTTAGGCACGCCCTGGATGGGCTCGGTCAGCGTCAGGATGGAGATGTCGTTAACTGAGGGAAACATGACGTCAATACAATGACCAATGACTCGAAATGATGAGAATCTATTGATACGATATGATATGATATGATTTGATATGATTTGATATGATATGTGTTATTTGAATGAAGAATTGTTCGATAAAAGCGTCTGGTTGAACAACGAAAACAGGATCCGAGGAATGATCTAACATGGTTATCTCGAGATAATGGAGTTCGCGTTTACGTAAATTATGTATAGCAGTTGGTTAGCTATCAAGTGTTAATATTAACGCGAACTAAATTGAAAGTTATTAAATGTTTAACATTGGAATAAGTGAAAAATACGATTACAAACTGTCCCCTGATACGTGGGGTTTCAGCAGCATCAGCATGAAGCTTTGACCCAGTTTCACAAGTTGATCGTAAATATCAACGAAACATCACTATTGGATCCAAATATGTGTACTTTGAGTCAACAAACTTACTGACTTTCGTCCGGTCGTATCTCGGATGGTCGTTAACTTTCTCCACTTGAAATACCCTTTCCCCATCTGACTTAGTGATGTCAAACTCAGCCACTCCTACAGTCAGGTCACTTGCCGCTGAACCTCTGACACAAAGACACACCATTCATAACCTGTAACATCTATACCTCCTTGTAGTGCAGACATAGGTTGAATTTTTCAATGATAACACAATAAAACCAGGTTCTCTTGTAGGTTATGACATTCCAAACCATGTATGATATGGTTTCACCCAAATAATTATAATGGCCGCAAAATACAATACGGCCGCTATTGAAGAATGGAATTCTATTATAACTCGCATTAACATGACCCAAAACTTATATTTGCACTATAGCTGATACTACTACTACCACCACCACTACTACTACTACTGCTACTGCTACTGCTACTGCTACTGCTACTAATGCTGCTGTTGCTGCTGCTAGTGCTACTGCTACTACTACTGCTACGCCGTCACCACAACCACTGCTATTATGGGGACATGATGTAGTCATGTTTAAAGTATGCGTGTTTATAGGTATGTTTGGAGGAACTATTGTAGGCATGTGTGCAGGCATGTGTGTTGAACTGTGTTTGGCATGTGAGTAGGCGTGTACATAGTCAAATGTGCAGGCATGTGTGTAGAACTGTGTTTGGCATGTGGGTAGGCGTGTACATAGTCAAATGTGCAGGTAAGTGTGTTGAACTGTGCTTGACATGTGGGTAGGCGTGTACATAGTCAAATGTGCAGGTAAGTGTGTTGAACTGTGTTTGGCATGTGAGTAGGCGTGTACATAGTCATGTGTGCAGGCATGTGTGTAGAACTGTGTTTGGCATGTGAGTAGGCGTGTACAAAGTCATGTGTGCAGGCATGTGTGTTGAACTGTGTTTGGCATGTGAGTAGGCGTGTACAAAGTCATGTGTGCAGGCATGTGTGTTGAACTGTGTTTGGCATGTGAGTAGGCGTGTACATAGTCATGTGTGCAGGCATGTGTGTTGAACTGTGTTCGGCATGTGAGTAGGCGCGTACATAGTCAAATGTGCAGGCATGTGTTAGAACTGTGTTTGGCACATGTGAGTAGGCGTGTACATAGTCATGTGTGCAGGCATGTGTGTTGAACTGTGTTTGGCATGTGAGTAGGCGTGTACATAGTCATGTGTGCAGGCATGTGTGTTGAACTGTGTTTGGCATGTGAGTAGGCGTGTACATAGTCATGTGTGCAGGCATGTGTGTTGAACTGTGTTCGGCCTGTGAGTAGGCGTGTACATAGTCATGTGTGCAGGCATGTGTGTTGAACTGTGTTCGGCATGTGTGTAGGCGTGTACATAGTTTTGTGTGCAGGCATGTGTGTTGAACTGTGTTTGGCATGTGAGTAGTTGTGTACAAAGTCATGTGTGCAGGCATGTGTGTTGAACTGTGTTTGGCATGTGAGTAGTTGTGTACAAAGTCATGTGTGCAGGCATGTGTGTTGAACTGTGTTCGGCCTGTGAGTAGGCGTGTACATAGTCATGTGTGCAGGCATGTGTGTTGAACTGTGTTCGTCATGTGTGTAGGCGTGTACATAGTCATGTGTGCAGGCATGTGTGTAGAACTGTGTTTGACATGTGAGTAGGCGTGTACATAGTCATGTGTGCAGGCATGTGTGTTTAACTGTGCTTGACATGTGAGTAGGCGTGTACATAGTCATGTGTGCAGGCATGTGTGTTTAACTGTGCTTGACATGTGAGTAGGCGTGTACATAGTAAATGTATGCAGCTATGTGTGTTGACCTGTACTGACGTATACAGTCGTGTGGTACTGTCTACTGGGGTATGTGTAGGCACAGAGGTACGTTGAGATGTTTGAGACACATGTGTGTAGGCATGTGTGAATCTATCTGGCAAGGTATGTATGTTGTCATATGTGTAGACGCGTTTAGATCTGTCAAGGCATACACAAAGGCTTGTGTGTGAGCCTATGTGTAAGTATGTGTGTTGGCATGCTTGTAGGCACGTGTGTAGGCATGTGTGTTCATGCTTACTCTGTACAATGAGCTGCCGTCAGGATGTGTGTTGGGTCGATGATACTAGCTGTACAGATGAGACCACCCCTCCTCATCAGGGAGGCCAGGAACTTATACTCTCATTTGGCCACTGTCTTCCCGTTGATGACCCGGAGCGACACCAGAGTGTTCCTCAACTGGTTGGACACGGTGGAGTCAAACTTGCTTCCACACTTACCTTGAAACCAGAGGAAACGTCTTTCACGTCTTTGTCAATATGAAGAGTTCTTACTTTGTATTGCAAAAATAAGACATTAGACATAAAGGTTGCCCCAGATTTGCATCAACACCAACTTGGAAGGGTTTCATAAACTGCCATGAAAAGGCCGCTTATTCATTGCTGATTTGTTTGTTTTTTGGGTTTGACCTCCACAGAAATGAAGTCAAAGTCTTCTGCTTTTCACACCCAGTCGCTTAATATGAAATCGTGTTTTATCGTTTAAGTTCACGGGATCTTGCTCCGTTTGTTAAAAGTATTTTATAGGAATGACTTAATGGTGATCATGTATGGACTATAGGCACAGACAAGTATTTAAATAAGAATCTTAAAAACCATATAAAAACGTATTTCAACTCATTACTCCCAGACTTCAGTTACAAATGAAGAAAACAGAAACCAGAGGTGTAAAACCTTTATAAATGGTTCCGCTTGTATTAGGTTTTGGAGTGGTGGTTGCTGTAGTGCTAGTCGATGCTTGTGTAGTTGTCGTGGTCTGAAGACCCAGTACAACAGTCTCGTCCGACCCGTCCAGCGTTATGTTAGATCCGGGACATGCCTCCAGGATGAGCCCCTGCAGATACTGAAAGCCATCGATGTTTCCAAGTGCAGTGGCTGTATTGAGGAGACCCTGGCAGTAGGCTGACTGTTCACCCTCGAAATCAAGTTGTATGATTGCTGGAACAGGTGCAAATAAACCGTCTTTAAAAGGCAAAAAACAACACAAATAATAAAACATTAGGCTTCATCAGTACAAAATGTATCTTGTTTATTGCCGTCTCTAGCAAGAAGGAATTTGGAATATCCGTTTTTGGCATCACCCTGGTATGACTATTTGACAATGTTTTAATAGTCTGAGGTTTACCCTGTATCAAGACATGTCTTGGGATTATGGAGAGTACCCATAACGTTGTCATTTACAGGAACTAAAAGTCACCAATATAACCATTTTGTTTCACGAGATGCCAATGCGATGAATTTTGTTGAAATGCATTTAAATTTATACTTTTCATTGTCAATCATAATGTTGGTATTCCTGCGATTTATGTGTGGCTGTACTCTTGGCTTCGTCAGTATCACGTTGTCTTGGCATGGACATATTCTCTCCCTATGACAAAATATGTGCATGCGCTTCAGGTGTCAACTAAGTGTGCAGATTTTACGGTTTACCCTGTGGTGATTTCGGTAAGAACAGATTCCCTGGAACTTATGCTGGTCCAAAGGGGCGCCCTAACGGATCGAGAGGTCAGACTCGGTCTTACACCGGAATGTTACTCAATGTGACGTTAATAGAAGGAACAATCGCACAAACAAGCAGAAAATAGCTTCGTATGTCGAACCAATGACGACACTAGTGTTGTTCGTTTTCGAAGTGACGTTTAGCTTTGAAGTTCCGAATAAAAGGCAAGTAACGGGATCGGGTGATCAAGCTTGCTGACTAGGTTGACACATGTCATCGTATCCCAGTTGTGTTGATCGATGCTCATGCTGTTGATCACTGAATTGTCTGGCCCAGGCTCGATTATTTACAGACCACCGCCATATAGCTGGAAAATTGCTGAGTTAATAATATCATTAATATTGCGTCGTTGAACAACCAACCAACCAATCGAATTGATCTAAGCAACACTTTAACCCAAATACGCCTGCGAGAACTAGCTACATAGCAAGCCGTCTGTGGCTCGTAGAGGCACAACACGAGGAAAGTATAGACCCAAACAGCAGAGTAGGCGTAGAGGATAGCACGTTTCTCTTACTTCTCTTGGTGTAACCTTCTAAAGCCTGCATGACATCGAAACTTTTGCCGTATGCTCTCAACGTATTGATGGCGTCCCAGAAGTCTGCAGCCTTGCCGTCCCAGACCTTCAGACCATGTCGCAGTTGTCGGAGTAACTCTGAGGCTACCTCCTCAAACGTCTTTCCGCTGTTGCTGACATTGTCGTAGTAGGCCGTGATGCTTGTGTTGAAGAACACCTTCATGACCTTGTCCAGCTCATTGACGTCGCTCCCCAACTCCGTCTCCAGCCGCCTCAAGTACACTGCGTCGATGTACTGGGACATTGTCAAGACGTCTTTCTTGCCGAGGAAGTGGTTGTAGATGGCCTCAACTGTGGGGATAGGGAGCATGGAGAGGCTCTGGAGGACTTTGGAGGCTACCCGCTCGGAGCTGGAACACAAGGAAAGTTTGACTTCTTTGATTGGCATTCTAGAAGTTGAGGGGATGAAGAAAGAGGACATTTTTCATGGATATACAACGTCTTTATTCTGTATAGGTGACGTTTCGACAAAGATTCTAAAGTCGTAGTCAACCACTTGCTTGACAACGACATTAGAATCTATGTCGGAACGTCGCTTAAAAAGAAATAATAAAGAAGTTGTATGTCCCTACAAATTGTCCTCATTCTACAAGGAGAGTTACAGTAACAATTGGTTACAAGTAACACAAGTAACATTCCCTCATGGTATCTGATGCCATTTGAGACTTTTTTATAGTAATCTTGTATATCAGCACAATTGCACCTTTCAATGTCATACGTTGGCCACATGTACTGTACCTTTAAACAAGTAAAAAAATGGTAAATAAAAAAATAAAATTAAAAAAGTGTGGTTTTAAAAAAACAAAACAAAACAAACAAGACAACAATTCCCTCAATTTTAACATACTGCCTCCTGCATCCTTTCTGGTGTGAATTTCTATGTATGTATGGTAATAGAAGCAACAAAACCCTCTCCACATTCAAAAGAATTCTCTGCTAAAAGTAGAGTCGATTGTACAACTGTGACTATATGATGAGTATATATTTGTTTCAGCTGTGTTGTATCGTAAAACAAAATTGCATAATGCGCTTCGTTAGTCAGGACCCTTGTCAGTGTGGACGACTTCAGTGAAAACGATTCCGTTTGGATTGTCAGGATCGTTAGCTGTGTTCAGTTAGAAATTGTTATGAAAGGTGCGGTTAGTTTGTCGAACAAAGGTTATTTTGAGTAGACATAATTGTTCCTAAGAGATACTTAGAGAAATGACAACAGTTCAAGAAAGCGATCACGGATGAGATTCGCACAGCAGTTGCAGATGGTGATTATGAAACATTTTAGTTAAAAATAAAAGCACTACTGCAGAACCGTAATGTATGGAATCCTATAAGGGACATTGTCGTGTTGTCGACAAACAAGCAAAAAGTGTCAAAACTAACCAAAGCGCGCGCGATATTGCAACAACGTCCCTTCTGGGATTCCATAGAATTAATGAGTAGATGCATTTCTGGGCAGAGAAGTGGTGTATATATTTTAAGGATGCTGCGAGGGATGCAGCAGCGAGGGATGTGTGTGTGTGTGTGTGTGTGTGTGTGTGTGTGTGTGTGTGTGTGTGTGTGTGTGTGTGTGTGTGTGTGTGTGTGTGTGTGTGTGTGTGTGTGTGTGTGTGTAAAACTGTCCGTGATCATATCACACATCATCATAATGGAGAATGTCTTTCGTGAGGCAGTACTGATGATTTATCATAAAGTATTTATCAGAAAGGAGAATTCAAGTCACTCAAATTTAGCATATCCCCGGGTATATCATGAAATACATCCTGAAATGTTTTAAACATGCTAACTCAATTGTATCCTCTATTATTATCATTGCAATATTGGTTAGTGGTGTTTTCTCCGATAACTAGCATGTTGGTATGATTACTCCATAGTGTGTAAAGGAGATGGTTAAGACTTTAGTAATTACCGTGGTATTTCCTTGTTAACTTATTAGGTAGTATATTCACGTCTATTCTTGGATCAAATTCCGATTTGTACATTGTACAAGTTCAACATGAATGTTAAGCAGAGTTTAGAAATGACTATTCATCAAGTGATAACGTAATGTCTTCAATCAAGATTTTAATGAGCTTTCAGAGATTTTGGCACTTGACTGTTTGTTTGTACTTGTTATGAAAGATGTGCATGGGAAAAGGTGTTAGAAGGGGAGTTCGCCAAGGGTGTGTGATAAGCCTTCTATTATTTATCTGCATGAGCAATTAGTCTAAATGAAGAGATGTGGACTGAGAGGAGTTTGTGTTTAGATATTTACTAAACGATAGCAAATTGCTCTTATTTGCAGATGATGTAACATCGGTGTATGACACTGTCCTACCCTTAAAAATGATACTGGTATAAACGGTGCCTCGAAGTTAATCTAAAGAAGGTTTTAGAAACTGGTGATATCTAAAACACAGGAATATTTAAGCATGATGGTAAACAAGTGGATTGATGCAAGTATTATCCTACTATAAATATCTAGGAATTGTCTCCACATCTGGAGTAATTTGGTCAAAACATTATCACTACAAACTAGAAATGATCCTCTTCCTATTCTTACCTCAAAGAAGGAGTATCTAGATATTTCTCGGAATGTAGTTTGGACAGTATTTGGCAGCAAAATAGTGTAATGATTATTGTTATTTGGAATGAAAATGAGGGATTACTCTTATCGTGCAAATATTGAAAAGATACAGAGTGTTTTCTTTACACGGTATTTATATGTTGATTAAAAAGGTATTGACCAATGATTTACTTGGTAAAGTGTATAGAACCTACTTATGTGTTAATTATTGTATAACGTGTTGGTACAGACTGATCTATCTGGATGACAGTAATAGATTATCCCAATTTAAGTTATGATAAATTGTTATTGTGAAATTAAAGGGATTTCCGGGGATTTGGTTTGTACATTGGCTGAGCAGATGAACCGTTCATTTTTCAACAAACTTCAAAAAGTGACGTTTACAAAGTATATACATCACCTTTTCACGTTTACGCGACTTTTGACCTGAACCACGTTTCGTGGGCAATCCCTATTTGGAACAATTCTCTGCTCATCATGATCGAGAGGTATGGCAATGAACGAACCCTTTCGCACAAATGTTCATTACACCAACTAGCTATCCGCCTCCTAACTATACACTAGAGCAAAACTATAGACAAGAATATTTGCAACAACAATTTACATGAAAACAGCTTTGGACACTATCAACAACTGTCTACACGATCAACAACAACTGTCTACAGAAACAACACCAAATAAAAGGAGCCACAACTATCTACACGAGAACCAACTGTAAACAAGAGCAACAACTGAAAACGAGAGGTCGAGTTATCTACAAACTATCTAGAACCGTAACAACTCTGTGTAAGAGAAAGTTGTAACTCACGCGCATGATTCATCTGTTCCACAGGATTGTACAGTCGTTTCTGCTCTGTCAATATACTGCTGTACATCGTCAAATGCTTGCAAGTCATCAAACGTTGCTAGTGCAGTGGCAGCGAGTGTTGTCAGTATAACTATGCACATGCGCGCCATGGTTGCAAAGTGCAGCAACGGCATGCCATCCGGAGATTTAAACGTAGATGCATCAAATAATGAGCATTTTTTCAGTTAAAATCCAACTATTGGCACGCATATGCAGCTGTGTGCATATTTGGATAGAAGCTCAAGATTGTTAAATATGTTTACTTGTAAATCGTGAATGTATACGTTTTAAGTTTTTGTTTCTTCTATTGTTGGTTTACAATGAAACACATGTCTTCGATACAATGCTTTGGCATTTTACAGATTGTCATTATTTACTTATGATAACGATCCGTCGTGAGTGAGAGTGTTCAGTTCGGTGATGTCACGGAGTGTTAGCTTAATGTGGGAGAAGATCCCAAAGTAATCAATATTTTAGCACTAACACGGTTACGGTGCTAACAAACGAGGATCACTATATGGAATCATTTAGATTTGAATCCACGATCATCGGATCATGGCACACCCAAGGAACGCAACTCTTCACAGCGACATGATGACGTTTAAGTGGACTTGACTACCCGACAACGCTATTATGTGTTTGGTAACATGTAAATTACGTCAAGTTAATTATCTTGGATGTGTCATGGATGACGTGTGATTACAGTGGATTATTAATTTCAGATCTCAAATCCCTAGACATCGAATAAATTTGTCTGTGGATTCTACGAGACATAAATACGCGGTTTGTCCAGATAAAATAGTGCAACCTGCACATCATTTAAACACTCGCCTTGAACCTGATGAATCTTAATAATTCTTGAAAGTCGTCTAGACATAATACCAAGACGCAAACTACACCCACAACCAAAGACAGCAGCAATCAAACAAGATGAAAACTATATATAACTAAAAACGTTTCGTGTCTTCGTTCCATCAACTTGTAAATACGTCTCAGTACAACACGCCTAAGTACAAGAAAGTCTCAATCTGGCTCTATTGCGCCCGCGATCGAGGATGACCCGGTCATGACAGGCGTATGGTGGCTGATTAGGGTCATCGCTTTCTCGCCTTAAAATTCGGAGGCGAGAAAGCGAGAAAGCGATATCACGAGACGAGAAGGCGATAGCACGAGACGAGAAAGCGATAACGCGAGACGCGAAAGCGATAGCACGAGACGCGAAAGCGATAACGCGAGACGAGAAAGCGAAAGCACGAGCCGAGAAAGCGATATCATTGCGCGAGAAAGCGATAGAGCGAGAAAGCGAGAAAGCGATATTACCCACAATTCAGTGCTGTCTGCGCAAGAAAGCGATGGCCCTAATCAGCCACCATACAGGCGCTATGCAGAGATTATGCCTGGGTTATGTTTCATTATTTGTCAGCGTTATATATGTATGCCCATTTCCGTAGGTTTTAACAAACTGAGAAACGCCTAAGACATAAACTGAAACACCGTTCACGGTGGCGTTAAACCAAACTCACTTACACTAGTATACGGTCGGGGCGGTGGGGTAGCCTAGTGGTTAAAGCACTGGCTCGTCACGCCGAAGACCCGAGTTCGAATCACCACATGGGTACAATGTGTGAAGCCCATGATGTTGCTGAAATATTGCTAAAAAGCGGCGTAAAACCAAACTCAGTCAGTCAGTCAGTATACGGTCGCCCAACTTCCATTTTGTGTCCAACCAGCAGCCAAGTTCCCCTAGCGACCTCTCTGATTGTTGAAGGAGGTAGCCAGTAACAGTATAACGCGACAAAACTATCACCCAACCGCCTATAAAACAATCGGTGATGACCCCACGAAAATATTATGAATGCTACTGACGTATTGTTTAATATGTGCCCCTCGTAAATTACAGTTGTCCATTACCAGATTCATTTTACCAGCCTTGTCTTTCTGTTGACTTTCTTAGCATCTTTCTTACAAGGACGAATCAGTCATCCGATCCGTCAATTATCTAACTTAGTTGCTAAAGAATGCGGTTATTAATAAATGTTTCTTGATTTTTGTCACCATTCCCGTCGTGGAAGGTTTCACCAACGTTACACTTATAAAGTCTTGGAGATGGATCACCTTGACCTCCCGTTGACCCTCCGATGAAAGGATAAAATTACAAAGAGTGAACCTCAACTCAATCTCTCTCAAATGTTCACCTGGGCATAATTGGCGGTGTAATACTCACATGCATTCCTGCACTGGTCCACAGCCTTCAAGGACGTGTGCCGCCATGTTCATGTAACATCCCATTGCCTTAAAAGCGTCATAATCGTAACTACATCTGACAGAAACCAAAGTATGTGATATTACTATGACCAGCGACAATACATATACCCTCGCCATGTTGAACGCTGATACGAAAGTGAAGGTAAATGCGAATATAAGTCAGTAATCTTACAGAATGTAGAATGTTTCTGACGGAAACCACGCCACTCCTTAGCGATGTCGTAAGATCTACATATAACGTAGCCAGAGATTATCAACGGTTGCTGTACTGGTTGTATACAAAACATGATTGTCCTTCACACACGATCGTAATGGTCCCATTAAAGCTAAAGCATTATGTTCTTACATCTTGTCACAGTGTATTGTCTTCCAAACACAAACAAAGCGTCTAGCGAGAGAGATTGTACTGGGTGCCAGCATGGTTTAACGTTTATGCTTGGTGTTGATGCCAACAGGATTACAACTGCTTTTGCAAAACAACGAGTGACTTGATACGAAACATTGAATACTATTAATCCTGAGTGAAAGGATAAGCTCTATGCTGTTTTGAATAGTGATTAGCTCTATGTTGTATTGAATAGTGATTAGCTCTATGCTGTAGCCATACTCTATAGGATAAATATCGCAGAATAATACACTGGATAATGTAAGCTTTCTGCTGTATTGAATAGTGATTAGCTCTATGCTGTATCCATACTCTATAGGATAAATATCGCAGAATAATACACTGGATAATGTAAGCTTTCTGCTGTATTGAATAGTGATTAGCTCTATGCTGTATCCATACTCTATAGGATAAATATCGCAGAATAATACATTGGATAATGTAAGCTTTCTGCTGTATTGAATAGTGATTAGCTCTATGCTGTATCCATACTCTACATGATAAATATCAATACATTGATAATGTAAGTTTTCTGCTGTATTGAATAGTGATTAGCCTCTATGCTGTGTAGCCATACTCTACATGATAAATATCAATACACTGGATAATGTAAGCTTCTGCTGTATTGAATAGTGATTAGCTCTATGCTGTATTGAATATCTATGCTGTAGCCATACTCTACATGATAAATATCAATACACTGGATAATGTAAGCTTTCTGCTGTATTGAATAGTGATTAGCTCTATGCTGTATTGAATAGTGATTAGCTCTATGCTGTAGCCATACTCTACATGATAAATATCAATACACATTGCTGATAATAGTAAGCTTTCTGCTGTATTGAATAGTGATTAGCTCTATGCTGTAGCCATACTCTACATGATAAATATTGCAGAATAATATACACTGGATAATGTAAGCTTATAAGCTTTCTGCTGTAGCACTACTCTGCGATAAACGTTAAAAGAGAATACAATATTTTTTCTTTGTTATAGCCTCCCTCTTTACGATAACTGATGATGATGATGTAAAGAGAAATGATGTTGTAAAGAGATATGATGTTGTAAAAAGAGAGATGATGTTGTAAAGAGAAATGATGTTGTTAAGAGATATGATGTTGAAAAGAGAGATGATGTTGTAAATGAAGCTGCTATCAAAGAAGGTATTTTTTGTCTTTTCGGTAGCGTCGCTATACAAGTTCAGTAATCTTGACCGCGACGTATGACCCAATTTCGCTAAATGTTGCCCGTTTTTGACTGGTTATTTGTAGTTCGCCATCAGCTTATTGTATTTCCTGAAAAAGAAACATCCCTTTGATCTCCTCCGTTGTGTTGTTGGTTGTACTGCATTCAATTGTTGTGGTCAGTTTTATGAATGTATAGCTCTATAGCCGATAAAAATACCATCCGTGCTGAACACAAGTTGATTTAATTATGCGATCCTCACATCCTATCCTCAGCATTCATATGTTATTATGCAACAAAATATGCAAAGAAACTCATTTTAAAAAGTTTTTATGATTTGAGTACGGATATCTGTAATACTATCGTGTCATTAGCAAACACATTAGAACCAGTGTAAAACACAGAGTCAGCCTAATCAGTGGACGGTACTAGATTCACATTGCATGCATGCCCCAACTTGTATAACCAGGTTCATTTCGCTGTTAGAATTGGTATTCAGTAACCCATGGCTTGTCGTAGTAACTGACTAATTCGATCAGGAGGTCATGCTCACTGACTTGGATTGACACATGTCATAGTATCCCAAATGCGTAGATCGATGTCATGATGTCAATATCACTGGGATTGTCTGATCCAGACTCGATGTTCATGCATTCACTTTCAATGGGGAACTTCGCTGGAACAAATTTACCCAAACAGACCTTTAAATACGAAAAGATCATACGATGGAATAAATGTGTCTCCACGTGATAACCTGGGGTAGTGGGTACACACACATATCTACAAGGGACAGACTGTCTGTTGCTCCGCTATATCATTTCGGAGATGTGGAGAGACAAATAGAAAACTATGGACCCTGCTTAGAAACCGCAACAGTTGATCTATTTATTGTAACGTCACAATACCTCTATATTGCACCAGGGGCGGTGGGGTAGCCGAGTGGTTAAAGCTCGTCACGCCGGGGTTCGATTCCCCACATGGGTACAATGTGTGAAGCACATTTCTGGTGTTCCCCGCCGTGATATAGCTGGAATATTGCTAAAAGTGGTGTAAAACCATACTCACTCACTCACTCTATATAACACCAAGTAGTTTAATGGATACTCAGGAAGGGTAAATGTTGAAATGAACTGCAACGTTTCATCTTTCCCCTCGATCTCAACCAGTAGAGTGAGTGAGTGAGTTGGGTTTTACGTCGCTTTTAGCAATATTCCAGCAATATCACGGCTGGGGACACCAGAAATGGGCTTCACACATTGTACCCATGTTGGGATTCGAACCCGGGTCGTCAGCGTGACGAGCCAACGCTTTAACCATTAGGCTACCCCACCGCCCCCCTCAATCAGTTAAAGAAACACTGAACATCTTGAAGGACCTTCATCTGGTGTGGATTTCCCCCATGATTGAAATTTATCAGACTTTGTATTTCTTAATTTACATTTGCAAATGTATTGTAGCTGTTGATTCTACTTCAAACTAATAGCAGGTCAAGCCATGACATAGAATGTACTTGGGTTTCTGAGGTTTTAAACAATTCCATCTATCGTCGATTGATGTGATGTATGACTGTCTCACATGCCAAACACAAACATCTGTTTCATGCTTGAATGACACCAAATCGAAATTTCGCTGTGGAATATTAGGACATTATTTGTTTTAAGAATCCTAAATATAACTGCACACCCCAAAACTGAAATAGTTCATAGTTCCAAATCTTGCACAATGTATCCCATTATCCTGATTGTTTCATCTTTGAAAATGGGGGCGTGCTTTGAAAAGATTCCAGGCAAAAAAGAGTATACATGCTTCTTTTACGGTTGCTACAACAACACAAATATGACATTATGTTTGGATCGTGTTCCGTCTGGCACGGGTACCATACTTGTATTTGGGACATGGTTTAGACGACTGTTTCAGCCAAAAACGTTTTGATAACATTTGTTGTCTTTCTTTGCCCGTCAGTATATGTTGTCTTTTGTGTCGTTCAAGCCTCATTGTCTTTGTGCAGGTGGTATTACAAAACGATGGATGTCCCGAACGTTAGTATTCACGTCGCTTAGTCACATGTTGTGAGTCAGTATGTGAGCACAGTTAAACGCTCTGTCAACAGTAAAACAGGTTAAAGATTCAGTTTCCACAGTGGAATGACGCAACGTGTGTGAATGAGTGAGTGAGTAGGTTTACAGCGCTTTCAGCAGTATTCCATCAACGTCTGGAAGTTCTACTTTCGTAGGCTACCTTTTAATTAAATACTAATTTTTGTAGATCAATGTTGTGGAACGACAGTACGTAGTATGGAACGCTGTGTCTGCAGACAGTCTGAGTTGGTGTGTCTATAGTTATGACGTCATATCATGTAACACTTTATTTCGTCCCAAGGCCACACCCTCTCTTCCACACCAGTGTGGACATGTGTGTAAATGTCGTTCGACTTTTGTACAAATGTATAAACAGTCGCCCGTTGTGTAATTTAACAGAAGATATATTACGAACTGCTATATACCTCTGATATCTAAAGATATAGAATTCCCAAAGCAGCTCATATTCTATGATTAAAGATATACATTATTAACTGCCTTTGTCCGCTAAGTAAATATGTATGCAAGATTGTCTTTAAACTGAGCCCATGACAAAGACATTCTTCCAGTAACATTACGAAATCTCAAACAATATGTTCACACGTGACCAGATTATCTTCCTCAGCATGTCCATATTTGGATATGTGAATAAACAATAAAGATAACAATCTACCAAATATAAATCAAAACGAAACAACCTCCAACCCTCTAAAACCCCGAAAAGAACAAACCAAAACCAAACTCAGAAGAACCGTCAACAAGCCGGCATGACGAACATGACAAGAGGGATGTTTTTAAATAGCCAAGGTATCTGCCTCAGTTTGTTCATCAATGGATCTATGCCAAGATAGTGACAAGATAAATATCAATCAAATCAAACCCCAAACCAAACAACATCTCCCCGGTCAAAATAAAACAGAAACCAAACAAAGCCAAACAAACAATAAAAAAGGACTGTCAACAAGCTTGTCTGACAAGAGGGATAACTTCTACTTTCCGAAAGTAAATAATAAAACTTTCCTGTTTTGTGAGTAATATTCCAGCAGCAGAGTAGCTTGAATGTGTTTGTGACGTGTGCCACAGGTGCGGCCAGACACCGTCAATATTCCGCGAACACCTGGTATCCTAACATTTCAGTGATTCACAAATACATACTTATTCGTAATCGGAGATGTATTGCAAGAGATATGTGTGTGTTTATGCGTCCACAAAGCAACGTGGATTTTCCTAACGTATCCGCTGGTTCTTACGTTATAATTCCATAAACGAAAATAAAATAAAACAATGGACAAAATAATGCAGTCATTGGACCAGAAATCGTTGAATAAAGCAGAACAATGTACAACGGCTCTATCTTTATTGAATGACGCTACAGTTGCCCGAGTCTTCATTTTGCAAGAGCTGACTTAATCCACGCGTCGTAGGCAGGTACTTTTGTGTAGATGCCTTGTGTGTCCTTGGCATTGCATTCCTCCGCCCCGTATGATGTCACGCCGCACTGGACCCATCTACCGCCGTACTGGCAGACCAGCGGACCGCCGGAATCACCCTGATGATAATAATGACCATATTTATCACCAGTCAGAATATTTATTGTAAAATAAAATAATGTCATATTTGTTTTATATTTGTAAGAACATTTTATCAATGAGCACCCAGCATAAAATTATCATGAAAATAGGGATAGAGCCAGCGACACTGGTCTCAGTACTTGTAACGATTGTCCAATTACATTTAATTTATGACTGTCATCATCATCATCATCATCATCATCATCATCATCATCATCTCACCTCACAAGTGTCGGATTCCCCAGCAGCACAGATCTGTGTATTTTGGTCACTGGGTGCTGAATTTCTGTGGGGGCACGATTTCCCATCGTAAGTCACGACAGTTGCATCGTAGGGGAAGTTTGGATAGGAACCTGGTAGAAAGTCAGGAACATACGTGCATATTATTCTTTTCATTGAGATTTGTGTTGCATTCACGCTATTTATTTGTACTTAAAGAACGTTACTTGAACACTCTGCATGACGTTAACAATGACCTATATCTTCATCATGACGTTAACACTAGCCTGGGACTGAGTAAAGCATAAATACTAGCCTGTGACGTCATCACAACGTCATTACTAGCCAATCACCTCATCACAACATGTTCACTAGTCTGTGACCTCATCATAACGTCAACAGTGGCCTTTGACATCAGCATGACGTATCAGTATAACTATTTGGCACATATATTATCTTTTACATAAGGAAGAAGGAAAACGCATTATTACTTGCTAAAAGATCTACGATATAATTGTTGTCTTCTTGAAACAACCTATGATATGAGTTCTTTTGTCGACCTGTCAACGAATTGCATGACGTCACAATGTTTTCAATGATGCTGCTTTTTGTGACGTCACAGTTTACTCTATTATCACATCAAGTCGAATCACTCTAATATTTCATCGAACTAACAATCTGTACTGTTAAACTTGAAATCACATTTTCGATTCATGTGCAACTGATAAATGTTGGCTGATTGGGACATATTGTAATTCGGATTCCTCGCGAGGTAACAAATCATAGGTATAACAACATAACGTCATAACGTCATGTCACATGACAGCTACATACTGAACCCGCCCTGCTGTGAGGTGGCTCCCCACCCTGCCACAACACACTGCATTCCGTTCAGGTTCTCGCACTGGCCGTCGACTGGGAGACACACCGGCTCGGCGTTCTTGATACCGGTGATGGGCTCCGCCAGTGTCAGGACACTGATGTCGTTCACTGAAGGAAGAACCAGTTTACAAACTATCAACAACTTGACGTAGGTTTCAAAACTCAAACTTTATAAACGAATGATGTTTAAACCGCAACCTAAAACCAGTGGTTGATAGTATGCGCAACGTTCCACACTATCGGGTTACAGTGACCTACAGACATGTCACACTTGAGATACTCTGAGGTCAGAAGCATTATAAAACAGTGCTCAGATTTAAGGACAGGGGAAATAAACTAGTCTTCCCCGCTGTATGTAATAAACATATATCACCTTCTGAACACCTTTAGTTCACAGGCCGAGATACAAACCACATACGACTCACAGGTTTATTCATCACAGATACCGAAAATACCGACTGTGCTGAGATGTTCACTTACTGTGCTGTCGCCGTGTCGAACCTACCGACTATGTGATTGTGTTGAACATACCTATGTTGGCATGGTTGTACCCACTGTGCTGGGTTAACGTCTTCACCTTGATGATCTTTTCGCCGTCATTCTTGGTAATATCATGTTCGGCTATGCCAACCGAAAGTTGTTCTGCCGTCGAGCGTCTGAAAATGCATACTTACAGATGTACATTTGGTAAAGTGATAATATTACAATCGTGTTTCTGTATCGTAAAATATTATTATTTTTATTGCAAATATTTATTTTCAAATACCCCAAAAAATCGTTGCGTTTGTTCTGGAATTGAATTTATTTGGACAGTGACACCAGCTTTATCGTCTTGTTTTCTGTGTTGTGTGTGCTCGAAAACGTAAACAAATTAGAAAATCTGTCCGAATCTGTTTCCAAAATCGGAAATGAGTAATTTTAGAGATCTAACTCTATCGACAATTTACATGGTTGACTAGTCAGGAACTGGTCAACGTTATTTCAGTGGGACAGGGGGGACTACTCTGGGTCAGTTAGAACCGTAGCGCCACCTTAAGGGCGCAAGTCGACAGTATCAATTCATATAAGATTTAAGTAATAACACCTGACTTCTTTCCTCGCGCCCCCCACATAACTGAAAACTATAAGAACACTTACAGGTAGAAACATTCAAGAAGTTCTTAACCAACCTAACAAAACAGAGAAAATGGGAGAATTTTCTGTTTATTGTTTAATGAGATTAAAAATGACTTTGTAAAGTATCAAATCCGCTACCTTCAGTATGAAGTACCATTACATGTGAACCACTCTCGACGTACCTAGTGCAGTGAGCTGCTGTCATGACGTGGGTTGGGTCTATGATTGTGGCGGTACACACAACCTGGTCGTTTTTAAGAAGTGTTACCAGGAACTTATATTCTCCCACAGCCACTCTCTGTCCGTTGATGACTCTCAGAGATGACGCTGCTTCGGTGATAGTACCACATGTTCCTGAAAGTGCAGAGCGCGGTACATCCAAGTGCACGGATAGAAAACTTGACAACGATAAAGCAAGAAATAAAATAAAAATATCAATTGTAGAATCTCTTCGATACATTGATATGACAAATCATATGCCGAGTAACAAATGAAAATATACCATTCAGCTATTTTTATCATGTTTCATTTTCAAATGAAAATATTTTAATTTACTCGCACTACATAAACAATATTTAAAAATGAAAAGTACTGGCACTTTAAGAACTTCTACATTGTTATATTTTAAAAACTTAAAGTTCTAAAACTTCCATACACAACTGTTGATCTTATCTTTGCAAGTCATAAACATGTCCTGTTTTACTTGAAGCACCCACGACAAAGTTTGCACTAAGCCGTAACGGCGCACAATACAACACATGGCACAGATCACTGTTGACTCACTGACAGGAAATGTATCTACCTCCTTGACTGTCAATTAAAAGAACATATTAAATTTAATCAGGGTCAACGATTTGACGCCAAGCTCAAATCGCATTCTGCTTACGCGTCGAAGGATTAGCTGTTGTAGTTGTTGCTGTCGCTGTCCTTGAAGTTGTCGTTGACTTTGTCGTTGTCGTTTGCGTTGCTTCCTGCGTTGTGAATTCATCGGGCAAGAAGACAACGTTTGAACATGCCTGGTTGATGAGCATCTCTAGAAGTGGGGTTTGGTTGATGTCGGACACAGTGTCCGCCATGTCTAACAGACTCTGGCAGTACGAGGAGGGAGAACTGTTACCCAGCTGTACTGCCGCTGAAACACCAACTGAATGGTAAAGAATACAGAAGGCACACTCGAGCGATCTCGCAAGTTGAGCTTAATATTAGCTTAATATTAGACATTAAACATAGATGATACTAATAAGGCATTCAAGAACACTATAGCTGATGACATTTTTGTGAAATATTTCTGCGAAATCAAGGTAGTGGCAAAGATACAGGCCTCACAAATTCACACATGTGTGGATTCGATCCGAACATCTGGGGTCCGAACCCTACCATTAGGCTACCCAACCAACCAGCTTTGGTTATAAGAAGATAGCTTAAAATGAGTTGCTAGTATTCACGGATGGTGACTGAAGTCATGCAAGATTGATCAAAGGCCATGCGAAACTTATATATCTCACAATTATCAGCTGAGAAACGTTACCCGATGTAAACTCACCTCGTTTGGACCTTGATTGTAAACTCGAACAAGCTGCATCGTGAGCCAGTGCTGCTAGCGCCAGGAGGACGAGACCAAGACGAGTCATCTTCATTCTGTGGGTGAATGTTGAACACTACGGTGGAACCAGAATATATATATCATAACTGTGTGTCATTCGTAAACAATAAGTATCGTTTTGGTTACTGAACAAATATCGTTAGTCATACCATCTGCATTTGTCAACACCTACGAGATAAATAGTCTGTTGACACAATGCATATTCTTCAAAGTATGAACAATCTAAAAATAATTGCTTTCTCTGCCTGTATCCAAGGAACAGAAAGTTGACGAACACGCCATTGTTTTTCCACTTTTGTGGATGAATATTTCAAACCGGGAAATTTTACTGAAATTCTGAGACAGGCATGTCATGTAGCCCATGACGTCATATATTACTGACGAAAGCAAATCAGAGTTGGTCAATATGTCTAAATTTGCATGGAAAAGGAAGAGAACATCTTAAGAACTGTTTAATATATGAGTGAAATTCATGGAGAGGAACATTTGTGTGGCATGAAAACATTCTGGATATAGGGGAAGAATTTGACCAGACTATGATTCCCATTCCACTAAATCTTAAAGGGGAGAATATGCAGCATAATATAGAATTACAAGTAGCTTCATCTTTACAGGTAATTGCCAACACATAGACAAAAGCTAAGTTCCTCTCTGGGAACGCAAAATACAACTGAAGTGAAACTAAACCGGTTTTCAGAATATACTTCTTTGGTTTCAATACACAGATGCAATTTTGTTATCCTTGGCCTAAAGACTAAGATCCCTGGCCTCGTAGACGTACATAACCTCGACGTTATTGGTAAAATATATCTAGAATATGCTCACAATATTCATAAGATATACTGAAAGAAACAAATAAAGGATCATATGGCAATTCAAGCATTCCTTCATTATTTTACAGTTTTCATCACCGCAGCGCTATTCAAAGAAGGTGATGAAAACTGGAAAATATTAAAGGAACGTTGGCATTTTCCTGTGATCCTGTATTGGTTTCTCTCAGTATAACTCTGTTAAACACATGGGCATGTGTCATTGAATCACAGTACTAAAGATACCAGAGGCTGCCAAAAAGGTGGTCATATCCTGCCCCCCGCCCTATGTTAAACACGACACAAACACACGCAAAGGCAGGTCACTCAATCGTCTGTAAAACAAATATAATATACATGTCAGATTTGGAAATTGTATCAAACATCATGTTTGTCACTGATGCCTTCTATTTGGACATGACCTCCGGTGGCTACCAAAAAGCTTACGGGCACCTTAAATGTTGTAGCAAACAACTTGTAGCAAGAGATGCGAGGCACTCTTTGACGAGTGAAAGTAAGAATTGTGAAATATTGACGCAAAAGGCTGGACGTGTTACAATATAGTAATCGTAAAAAAAGGTTGAGTACAGGAAAGATGAAGCCACTCCCCTTGTCGTGCAGTCTTTAGACATAGATTTAAATACAATGAGTGAGCGAGTTTAGTTTTACGTCGCACTCAGCAATTTTCCAGTTACATGGCGAAAATAATCAAGTCTGGACCAGGCAATCCAGTGATCAACACCATGGGCATCAATCTAAGCATCAATCAACATGTGCCAATCAAGTCAGCAAGCCTGACCACCCGATCCCGTTAATCGCCTTTTACGACAAGCATGGGTTACTGAAGATCAGTTCTAATCCGGATCTTCAAGTACAACACAGATGAAGCTGTCTCAAGGTTCTCTTTGTGTCACGTTAAGGTGGGTATATCAGTGGAAGGGAAATCAGATCAAAGATAAACTTAGGTTAATTTCTTGGCCAGTTCCCTTTGTTTTGAATTTGATATTGTCTTTGAAATTCCGACCAATCAGAAATAGATCCGAACGATGCCCACTTGAATGACTGGTGTGTCAAGGAATGAAGTTGTCCAAACTTGTACATCGTTGTCTATAACGTAAGGATTTGTTTGTTTGTTCGTTTGTTTGTTGTTTTTGCCGAGTGTTCTAAATGGCATTCTTCATACAAGTCACCTGACTCAAATCCACATCCACATGATCACGAAATGTTAACCTGCCTACTCAATCATAATTTGTCAATAAAACATTGGTAATTTTTTCGCCGCTTTTAGCAACTTTACCAAAACATCATGGCCAGAAATGGGTTTTGCACATTATTCCTATTTTAGGGATTGGAACCCCGGTCTTCAACCTGACGCAAGTGATAAAAGCATATGTATTTGAAACTGTTTTATAAAAGTTAAATCGAAGATGGAAACATTTTTTCCTAATGATCATTATAATTACGTCTAATGTGTGTATCAGGTATGCAACCACCTGAAACAATACCAGCACGCTTTCCGTGTCATACGAAGCCCACAAAGCAGGTGTGTGGTTCCCAGATAGGTGGGTTGTAAAACCACAACTTACAAACATGACATTTTAAAATGGCGAACATCTGTTATTAGCCCTCTGCATTATTAATAATAGCAAATACAGTCGATCCAAGCGTTCTTGGTGCTGTTTACATACAGAAATGTGTAGGACGAAATGAAGGTCTTAGAATCTTAATGCACCTGTTTGACTTTTTTTGTCAGCTTTGGAAAGGTTTATTTTCAACTCATCGATGTGTTTATTGGCCTTACCGGAATTATAACGATTACTATACTACTACTCCTACTTTTACTACTACTACTAGTTTTACTACTATACTTAAACTACTACTTCTACTACTAGTACTACTACTTTTAATATTATACTACTACTACTACTACTACTACTACTACTACAACTATATACTACTACTACTACTACTACTACTCCTACTTTTACTACTACTACTACTTTTACTACTATACTACTACTACTACTACTACTACTATATACTACTATATACTACTACTACTACTACTACTACTTACTACTACTACTACTACTACTACTACTATATACTACTACTACTACTACTACTATACTATATACTACTACTACTACTACTACTATATACTACTACTACTACTATATACTACTACTATATACTACTACTACTACTACTACTATATACTACTACTACTACTACTACTACTACTATACTACTACTACCACTACTACTACTACTACTACTACTACTACTACTACTACTATACTACTACTACTATATACTACTACTACTACTATATATACTACTATACTACTACTACTACTACTTATATACTACTACTATATACTACTATATACTACTATATTACTACTACTATACTACTACTACTACTACTACTACTATATACTACTACTACTACTATACTACTACTACTATATATACTACTACACTACTACTACTACTACTACTATATACCACTATACTACTACTACTACTACTACTACTACTACTACTACTACTACAACTACTACTACTACTACTACCACTACTACTATATATACACTACTACTACTATATACTACTACCACTACTACTACTACTACTACTACTACTACTACTACTATATACGTTTGTGTTAGTTACATAGTATGTTTCACTGTTACTACTACTACTACTACTACTACTACTACCACTACTACTACTACTACTACTACTACTACTACTACTACTATATACTACTACTACTACTACTACTCATATACTACTCCTACTACACTACTACTACTACTACTACTACTACATACTACTATACTACCACAACTACTACTACTACTATATACGTTTGTGTTAGTTTTACATAAAGAACGGAATGTATGCTTGATGGTGCTAATTATGAATACTGCTGATGCTACCCTGATCATACTGATGCAAATATCTCCTCCTGCCACTGCCACCACTACTCACTACTACTACTTTTACTACTCACTACTACTACTACTACTACTACTACTACTCACTACTCACTACTACTACCACTACTACTACCACTATATACTACTACTACTACTACTACTATACTACTACTACTACTATACTACTCACTATACTACTACTACTACTACTACTACTACTACTACTATACCACTACTACTACTACTACTTATATACTACTACTACTACTACTACCACTACTACTATACTACTATACATACTACTACTACTACTACTACTACTACTACCACTATATACTACTACTACTACTTACTACTACTACTACTACTACTACTACTACTACTTTACTACTACTAACTACTACTACTACTACTACTACTACTACTACCACTACTACTACTACTATATACTACTTTTACTACCACTAATTACTACTACTACTACTACTACTACTACTATGCTACTACTACTACTACTACCACTAATATACTGGCAGAGCCCACAGCCCACCGCCCTCTTCCTCTCTTATACGTCGGGGTTTGATTAATGTGGGGCTCATCATTATAGAATTGTATTATGTACTTTTGCGCATATGTAGTTATCGGATGATCCTCCGGTGATGCAAGGAATTCCACAAGTATTTTATTGCGCCAAGATTATTGGTCAGGATCTCAAAATCGAAATTGATTTTGTTGATGGCAATTTGACGGTACAGCCCAGAATCGGTCGTTTCAGAAGCGGCTTTCTGAGAAACCACTGCATCGTGTGTAAATGCAATGTGTGGAAGAGAATAGCAATCAAACCGATTCCTTCGCCGTGATGAAATCGGCTGGACTTAAGGCTGTCAAGACCAATCACTTCCCACTCGCAATCACCAAAACTTGAGTTCAAATAAAATATTACTACTAAAGTCGACTGTGCTGCATTTACTGCGACTGTCCAACACTTTGTCAGTAGATGTCCTTCCTTGGTACACACATGATATCTTAAACGACATGATGGCATGGCTCGTTGTCTCTATTATCGTCTCCGTCATGCCTGTGGCTTTGACTACAAGGTTCATTCATGGTACGACTCTGAACATGTCCAGGGCGTCATGGAAAATCATGTTTCCAAAATTGTAACTTGTAACATATGTTATATACTGTAAGCCATTAAAAACGCAATTTATCATTCATACTTTCTTTACTCACACCAATTTCAACATATATAAACCTAACTGGCAGATATG